TCTCTTTCACAGCTGATTAGCGGGGTTGGCCCATGGGGACAGCGACGTGGAGCTCGAATCCAGCGCTCGCCTCGGGGTCCCCCCAGCCGTGAGCCGCGTCTGCTCCGGCACAGTCGTACCCCCCCGGCCCCGCCAGCACCCCCACAGCACCGCTCCCCTTGGCTTCGGGAGGGCCACAGGGACGGGGTGTCACCAGCCCAAGCAAAGGTACCGCGATATCCAGCCACCCCCCAGGAGCTGGGACAGGAGCTCACCAGGAGCACAAACCTCTTGCGCACACAGTTCCCATCCCGGCCATGGTGGCCCATCCTTTGAGCTCCGCTGATTGGTGGCGACCGCCAAGAGCAATTCTTGCACCTGAACTTGGCAAAATGAGCTGTGAGAGACGTGTGATGCTCCAGTAAGGGGTGACCCACCGGTCTGCTGCGTGCAATGGACTGGTTTTCAGGTTTGAACTCCGGAGGGACGGTGACTGGGCAAGAGCTGAGATGTGAGAGCAGTTGGTGATGAGGTGGGGAGAAGCTCAGGGAACAGATGGACACCGGTGAAAATCCTTCCCCCGCCCTGGGAGATGCCCCACGGGACCATCCCAGCGGGTCCTTCACCCATTGCTGGGCTGACACACCAGCTCCGTGGGCGCTGTGACCCAGCCTCACCTCACAGCCCTGTCCCAGCCAGTGGCCGTGGGGTGACACTTCAGGAACAGCAACTCTTTTTAAGAGGAAAGCAGCCTACCCTTGAAAGTTACTTTCTGAAGGTCAAGAGTGGGACTGTGACAGAGCAGCCTGACAAACGCATCTCCCAAAGTCCTTGGGCCCGATAATGTATGTCCCGTGCAATGTTGACACTAGTGATCCACCAAAGATCAGGTTAACAAGTTTGACGTTAGTGACAGCGTGATTTGTTCAGCGCTGGCTCTGAATTCATAGAGCGGCTGGCCTTCAGTGATAAACTATTGCACCGCGCGCACGAGGCTGTGGCAGTTGTCACCAGCCGGAGCACCGAGATGAAAAGGAAGCAGAGCTCTAATCAAAATACAGTGGTCAGTAGAGGTTGAGCTGAAAATTAAAATGTGCTGGTACTTTTCCCTCTCCAGCCTTGCTTCCCAGGCAGCCCTTTCTGCCAGCGCGGGGCGAGGGGAGAGGCCGCCCCATCGCCTCTGCGCGGCTCCAGCAGCTCCTCTCGCTCGGTTCGGCGAGGACAAACCCATCGCCCCACGTGCGCGAAGCGTCCTCTGCCACCTCCCGGGGAGCCCCGCCACTGCTGACCTTCAGGGCCCCCTTGCAGGGAATAAATCCAGGGCGGCGCGGCGTCAAAGCCGCCCGAGCTGCACCACGGAGGAGAACTGCTGTAAATAAGGAAAACCAACACAGCAGAGAGGGCAGGAGACGTGAGCGGGCTCGGCAGGGGAGCGGGGCAGCGCGGCACATGCCAGGATTGAAGTGAGGATGCGATAAACCCTCTAGAAGGAGCGGGGAGGGGGCAGGCACGGTGCTGCCCAGCACGGGGAGAGGGACCCTGCGGCGAGCAGGGGCAGATGGAGGCGCTGGGGGAGATGGAGCCGCTTCTGGGGCCGCACCTGGGGTGATGAGGAGCTGCCCGGCCCCTCTCCTCTGCATCGCCCCAGCAGCCCGGGGAATGCTGCAGGCTCTGAGCCCTCGGGGAACGGGGCAAAGCTTTCCTGGTGGGAAAGGACTTTCTGCAGAAACACCCAGGCCTGGGCTGCTGGAGCAATTCCCTCCCGGCACTAGGTCTTCTCCTCCCTCTCCCCTCTGCTCAGCGCCGGCTCCCGTGACGCTCTGGGGAAGGGGACGTGCAGGGGCTGCGGGACAGCGCGAGGGCTGGAATGGGCATCCCCCCCAGGAGTGAGCTGCGAGCTGGGGACTGGACCTCAGGTGAGGCTGAACGTGCTCGGTGCCGGTTTATGGTCCGACACGTTTATTGCATCTGCTGTGAGGGATTGTTGCCAGCACAGGGCTCCAGTGCGGGGGAACAACCGCTCCACCTGCCTGCAAACAGCGGGCACGGGCCCGGGTCAGGGCAAGCACGGCTCTGCCACGTCCTTGGCTGGGCTCAGGTTTTGGGACAGCCCTTCCCACCTTCCCCACTCCCCAGATCAAGGCCCCTTTTTAGGTCTGAACAAGCAGATTTCTGTTGTCTCTGGAGAACAGACACCGAGGAATTTCCCAAGCACAAACGCCCGTTGCAGGACAACCCTGCCCTCGTCTGTGGACCCACCGGCTCCGCGCAGGACCCAGAGCCACCGAGTCTCTCCTGTGAGAGTGGCGGGGAGGGCTGAGCCCTTCATCCACCCCCCCTGCACAAGGAACTGGTGTTTCCCTGTGGGGACACGCGCCTGCCAAAGGGACTGAGGGCAGAGACATGTCAGTGCTGCTCCTCAGCCTCCCGAAAGGGACAGCAGAGCCGCCGGTCGCTCCCCCTGCAGCTGGGGGCCACAGCCAAGGGGTGAATGATGGAAAGAAAACACCCCAAAGCTGTCCAGCGAAGGGAAGCAGCCTCTCAGCCCACCCCGCTCTGCCCTGCGGCTGGGGACAGGCTCTCCCCCCCAAAAAACATGTGTTGGACTCCAACAGCTCCGTGTTCAAACCCAGGAGCTCTGCCAGTGACGAAATCCTTCAGGTTCGGAGGAATACGGGGAGGGCTGCATCCCTGTGTGCCAGAAGGCAGACACTTAACTGCTGTTTCTTTGCCATACAATCTCCCACTATTAAAATAAGTGGGGGAAAAAAAAAAAACCCACCTCCTAAACGCCCTTAAGCACAAGAGCTCCTAAACATTAAAAAGGGAGAATTTCCATTTTTATGAGTTTAGCGATGCGGGAAGTGCGGCAGCCCCGCCGGAGGGAGCAGCGGAGCGCAGGGGCCGGCTGCTCACTTGGAGCCGCCTTTGTGGCAGCGCCGGCATCTCCCTGAGTGGGCCTTAAGGCGCTAATACACGTGGAAATGTAAATACGAAAAGTGCTTCTTAGTCTTTTAACACGCACCCACCTCAGTGACACGAGAGACGGTTAAATGATTCCTGCAGTTCCTCTCCGGAGCACACTGGTCAAGGATTCCCGGTGTGTTTGCTTCTTTGGATTATTCCTCCTGCCTGCAGCAGCCGTTACCGCTCGGGCTGTCTCTTATACACA